CCTTCGGTCCCACGGCACTGACAGACCCTTAGAAATCAATGAAAATCAAATGCACTTCTTCACAGGACAGTTTGCCTTCATGCCGATCCCTTGGAAGGACCAGAAATGAAACTGAGGCTGGAAAGAAGAGAAATGACCTGAAGCCAGGCTGGGAAAAGGTCCCTCTATTGTCAGGAGACTTAGAAAATATTTAAGAAGGGGAAAAATTTCTTCCCCCTGCCCCCCCTCGCTCTTGCAAAAGGTGAGCCCTGTAAATATTATTGCTTTCATTTTCTTTTAAGCCAGGAAACGAAGTTCTCTAGGCAGAAGAGGGAGAATTAAAAAAAAAAATGCAGTTAAATTTCTATCAAAGTTAGTCGTCATTCAGGGTAAGGCTTTGAACCATCTCCAGTCTTTCTCTGCTGGACAAATGCACACATTATGTGCACTTACATGCATATCTGGGTCATGAGAGAGAATAGTGTGTCATGAGAACAGCTACAACTTGGTCATCACTGAGATCAGAAGGGAGATCAGTTCTACTCTCAAGCAGCCCTGGGTTACTGCTGGCTTGAACCAATCTTCCTTCTCTGATGTTGTCCAAACAGGACAAGAGGTTGAAGAGAAGGTTAACTTCTCTTTCATGCTGCCAACATAGAGATGATGTCATAGAGTGTCACCCCAAAACTGAGGTCACTCTAGGAACATCATCTTTCTGTTACTTTTAATGTCTTTTCAGCTACAGGGGGGAGGTTGGACCACAGGAACGAGAAGCAGCAGGAAGAAGGATGCTTCTGATTGTGCCTAGAATAGAAACCATCTTTATCTGCCCCCTCAGCTCTTTTTCTGCACTTTTTTCTTTGTTCAAAAAGTACCAAAAAGAGAGATTAGAAAGCACAGTGTGTCAAAGGAAGCTGTCCAAGGATACAGCCGATCTACTGTTCTTGCAGCAGGATAAATCTGGACTGCAGAGTAACTGCAGCTGTGCTGTGAAAATGCAACTACTTTGTTAACAGTGGTGAAGTTACCTTTTTGTGGAGGCATTAAACTGTGTGAATTTGAAGTACCATTTTTTTCCCCCTTAATATCCATTAGCACAGTTGCAAGGAAGGAATTGTTTTGGGCTAGTTATACCACAGAGAGTAATCTCTTAGCTCATCTTGGATTAATCACAGCTGGAATTAAAGTACATACAAGAACTACCGTACATAAAATAACATGTTAGAAGTATCTTGCTCTGATTCAAACCATCATTTCTTAACCTTTTGTGTGATTTTAATAGAAAGAATGAAAAATGATGAAATGATGCTGATTTGGAATATGTGACTAAAAGAAAAATGGAGCCCTGGAGATTAATTGTTTTTCACTCTATTTTTAGGAATGAGCTAATGGCAAATAGGACCATAATAAGAGAATTCATACTGTTGGGGCTGACTGACAACCATCAATTTGATGTTATCCTTTTTCTCCTCATGTTTGGGATTTATCTTTTGACATTAATAGGAAACATACTGATTATTATTATCACATTGCTGAATGCTCAACTCTATAGCCCAATGTATTTTTTCCTCCGACATATGGCATGGGCGGAGATTGGGTATACATGTACCATCATTCCCAAAGCACTGGCCAACATAGCCACTGGCAGTAAGAACATCTCTTTAGTTGGCTGTTTCATACAGATTTTTCTTTATTTTGTCCTTGGTACCACTGAGTTCCTCCTACTGGCTGTAATGTCTGTTGACCGATATGTAGCAATCTGTAACCCTCTTCGCTACTCAACTATCATGAATAGACAAATCTGCTCATTACTGGTATTTTCTTGCTGGGCTGGGGGGTTATCACTAATTCTAGTTCCATCCATTCCTTTATTTCAGATGCCATTTTGTGGTCCTAACATCATCAACCATTTCTTTTGTGACTCTGGACCACTACTCAAACTAGCATGTGTTGACACCAGGCTCCTAGAACTGATTGGTTTTCTGACTGCCACACTCTCTCTGCTTGGGACCTTAAGTGTCAACATTGTGTCTTACGTCAAAATCATTTCCACAATTCTGCGCATCCCATTAACTACAGGGAGGAAGAAGACCTTCTCCACCTGTGCTTCTCACATGACTGTGGTCTCCATCGCTTACAGCAGTTGTATTTTCATGTATATCAACCCAAAAGGCACCAACGAATTAGAATTCAACAAAATAGTGGCTCTTCTGAATATTCTTGTGCCTCCTTTTCTGCTTCCAATTGCATACTGCTTGAGGAACAGACAATTGCAGGATGCTTTGAGGGCCGAATTGAGACAATGGATTGGATTTGGCAAGAAATTGAGATGATTTCCTACTGATGAGACACTAAAGTAGATTTTCATCTAACAGTGCATTTTTAAGCTATGGAATATGCTGCTATCAGAAGTAACGATCACCAAGTGAGATGGTTTTACAAGGGGACTTGAGAATAATAGAGGATGGGGTAATCAGGGACTGAAACATCTGACTGCTATCAAAGGCAGAATGCCTGAAATACTGGTTGCTAGTGAGAAAAAATAGAAGGAGACAATCACCCTCCTGTCCTGCTTGTGAGTTTATCAAAACATCTGGTTGCACACTGTGTGACCTAGCATAGATGAGTCCTTCACCTCAGAGCTCTTCTCATCTTCTGAAGTGGAAAATACAGCCACCATCTCCTGAGTTTATTTTTCTGCCTGAATGTGTTTCTTATACTGGCCCTGTGTGTGTAACATATTCAACACAAGAACATAAAGCCCAATGTTTTTATTTACCTTTTGATGTTACTTGTATTGAACATAGGGATCATTCTGACTATCCCAATCAAAAGGACAGAAGTCAAGAATGGAGGTCTATGGTTACGTTAAATCACCAGGAAATGATCCTCAATGATGAACCTGAATATCAGGGAGAATCCAAGGTGAGGGCATAACACAAGCTATTCAGTGCTAGAAAATGTTGCCAGTGTAGAAATTTTGGTTGTTTTGAATTTGCTGGTTAGTTCAAACAAATCTGCAATATTTTCCACTTTTTTTATCATGGCATCTCGTTTCCCAGGACCGGCCGAGAATTTATCCAAAGTTGTTTTGGGCATATTGGGGAAAGATGGTAGGAGGCACCTCCCTCCCTTCTTTTTCTTTGCTTACCGTGGTTTCCAACTGTCACTTCTAGACCCCTTTTGGTATCCCAATAAACAGGATATCTTGCAAGAAGAGGAAAATTCTTGAAATGACCCAGAATGAACCAAGGCAACAGTCAGATAAAAGACGTCAGAGTCCAGGGCAGAAATGGACTTTAGTTTCCAAGTTTGATGATATTGTGTGATCCTAGGCAATGATCAATCTCCAGTCTTCTGCCTGAATCCACTCTCCCAGTGGGAAGTTCAGTTTTATTAAAACTACCCAATGGAATCAGACACAGCCAAGCCCATAGGATTTCCGCCATGTTGAATGAGCTTTGGAAATGTGTCCTTGTACTTTTGTACTCCAAATTGGTTTGAACAGAACTGATTTGTATTATTTGATCTGAACTGAATGGATAATCAAATCAATCTTACAACTGAAATGGGGGCAGAGTTGTAAATCCCTTGGAAATAGTTGCAAAATGCCTTGTGTTGGACAGGATTTTGATGGGTTTCAAATTGTGTGTGATTTATAAATAGATCCAAATAAACATAGTTGTCAACTACTAATGCTAATTCTAATTCTAATACTATCTAGCATTAGCTTTAATTAGTACAATACCTTTCTTGGCTCCTTGAGAAGTCCCTGAGGGATCTTCACAAGCCAGTCTTGAATATGTCTTGCACCTTATGCTTCAAAACAGTAACCAGCCCCATTGTTTATAAGAGATTGCTTCCATGTTCATTGCTGTGAAAAGATATGGAGGAAGAAGGCAGCAAAATTGCACAGGGGACACAGGTCTGAGCCATGAAAGCAAGGCGTCTTCTCAAAGCATTGAGAATGGAGAAGGTTATGCTTCCTAAAAATTGAATTATGGGACAATATTATGCCTGCCAAAAATAAGTGAGGGAGGAAAAATTGGATAGGTGTTTCTACCTTGCCTCTGATCTGTAACCACATTAAACATAACACACTATAATAACCTAGAAGATTGCTGTTAGCAGCATAAATCAGATGATGAAAAGCAAAGAGATCATGAAAATGTAATGAATGGTTTTTTAGTGTAGTTTGCAAGGGGTGAGTATTTTTGCCAATTTTTCATGCCTTTGGTTCTCAAGAGTGGTGAGCTGTAACATTGCTTTCTAAAACTATGAGATGGTTTGCAGAGTTCGAAAGTGATAGATTAAGCCAGGTGATTTCTAATGTGTAATGCTTAGGACTGGTTTAGAAGCAAACATAATTTAAATCTGGTTCTAATTATTTATATGTGAATACACTGCAGAACTCAGTAATACTTCCTTCCAAATGATGTTTGGTTCAATCATCATTTTTAAATTAAGCCACAACTGATAGTTGTTTATTTATATATTTAAATATGGTATTTAGATAGGCACCCATCTCACAAAGTAATTACTCTGGTCGGCGTACAACTATTAAAAAGAATAAATACTTAGAAAACAATCACAAGTGAAAATAACTGTAAAAGCACACAGAACAGGAAGGGATAATATTAATAAGGGAGCCATCGCAAAATCTCCCCGGTCTTCTGGGTCCCCCAGGCCTGATCATGTAGCCAGGTCTTGGGGGACTTACGGAATGTTGAGAGGGATGGAGCTAATCTCACTTCTGGGGGGAGAAGGTTCCACAAGGTAGAAGCCACCTTCTGTGACCCGCCAAATGAATTCCCTTACAGGCAGGACCTGCAGCATGTCTTCTCTGCCAGACCTGATGGGATGCGCAGATGTAATCAGGGAGAGGCAGTTCTGAGGCTGCATTAGGTGAAGGGCTCATGCATGCTAGGTCACACACTGTGCAACTAGATGTTCTGGTAAACTCACAACCAGGAATGAAGAGATTTAAGAACATTCACACAGAGGTTTCACTTATCTGAAGGACATTCATAGAATCATGAATAATGGCCTGTGAATATTGAACATCCTTTCACCCACACAACTGTGGTAAGCAGGTATTGCTGCTAATCATGTGTTTCAAGTGGAAAATATTCCAAGATCTGAAGAAAAGGTGATCCTATCATTGATCTTGATTCAGCTGCATTTGCTTAATGCAATCTTAATTTCATGTCTGCTATAATGGCCAGTGAATATTGAACAGCCTTTTACCTATACAGCTGTCATTGGTAGTTATTTTTTTCAAGTATTAAACGTTGATAATGTTCCAAGCCCTGAAGAAAAGGTGTTCTTATCATTGTTCTCAAGGCAGCTGCATTCACACAACATAGGTGGATGGGTCTACAGCTACTCTGGGTTTAAGACTTCTCCTGGTACATCAGCAGGAAATGATCAGTCTCAGTTGAAAAGGACTAATCTCTGATAACTTCCTTGAACAAGCTGACATTTCCAGCCACTATTTTTGGTACTTTTGACCAAGGGTTGTCTCCAACATAGAGACATTTGGAAAGGCATCACCATTCTGTTTCCTTTCTTCCCTATGGTCTGCCCTTCCCTTGTGTCAGCAAGAGGACTCAAAGTTACAGAGATGATGGTCCTAAAGTAATCCCAGTTTTGCAGGGCCACTCTATAACTATACCTCTGCACTGGTTAACCCCTTCTTAACTGCTTGTGAAAAGAGGAGAGAGGGGAGATATGTTCAATGCATAGTTAACTCAGGGCTTAAATCTCTGATAAAGTATTCCCACTCATCAACCAGTTATATTGGTTGTGCAAATACAACCAGCATACTTGATCAGCAACTGTGATCAAAGGAAACTTTATTCAGAAGTAAGTTCAAAGAGTTCTGCAGGGTTTATTCCCATGTAATGAGTTACGGTGATAGAGTTGCAAAATATGAGAAAAGCCAAGAAGGTGAAAAGTTAAAACAAGAGAGGTCCATCTCTTGTTCCTTTGCAACAGTACAGAAGTATTCTTTCACTGTGTTCTTCTGGGATCTATTGTAGAGTTCCTACTCTAACCTAGAAGAGTAGGTGATGGTTCTTTCATCTGCATGTCAACTATTTAGATTTGTTTGAGATCAGCCCAGATCAACCAAGGTTGGCTAAGTGCTTCCAATGCCTTCCTTCTCACGAGACATGTTTCTGCCTCCGCAAACAATCTCGGAGAGCCTCCTTGACCTCGTTCCTCAGAGTGTAAATAAAAGGATTCAGTAATGGGCTAACCAGAACAGTAAGAACTGCCACTGCTTTCTGGGCATCCCAAGACCAACCCTCACTGGGCAAAGAGTACATGAAGATGGTGCTGCCATAGAAAATGGAAGGAACTATGAGATGAGAGGAACAGGTTGAAAATGTCTTCCTACGGCTCCTGCTGGTCTACATACTCAAAATAGAGACAGTTATGTAGAGGTAAGAGACAACAGTTACACTCAAGGAACTGAGGTACATCAAAGCAGATAGAATAGATTTCAGAGCCAGGAGAGTATCTACATCATTGCAAGAAAGCTTTATCATCGGAGCATAGTCACAGAAGAAATGGTCAATAACATTAGAGCTGCAGAAGGAGATGTTGGCGTAAGTGAAAAATTGGCCTAAAACTCCTAATGAAAGGACCCATCCAGTACCCCAACACCAAACTCACACAGATATAGTCATTCATGATGTTGGTGTAGCACAGTAGATGACAAATGGCAATGTAGTGGATAAAGGCCATCATGGCAATCAGGCCAATTTCACAGGCACCAAGGAAGAAATAAAAATAGCACTGAATCATACAGGCCAATAAAGAGTAGATATGTTCAAGAAAAGCAGATTCACCAGCATCTTGAGAATAACTGTCATGACAAAGAAGATCTCCAAAAAGAGTTTGCAGAGGAAGAAGTACATGAGGGTTTGGAGGCATTTATTGAGATGGTGTACTTCTTTCTCTTCCTTATATCTCAGTGTCTTAGGGATGTGCTACCCTGGACCACTTCTGAATGTTATCTCATAGTTCTGCACTTAAAAAGTGTTTCAGCCCCTTTTGTCTAGATAATGGTTCCTGCATATTTCCATCCAGGCCATCTACAATCCCTTTACTTTGCTGATCATGGTTTGCAGTTCTCACTACTACAGTTCTCTTGGCCCCATGATCCACAGGGTGTAAAGGAAAGGGGGGAGGGAAGGAGGGAGAGAGGCTATTTTTTTTGTTTTTTAGATACATATATACTTTTTGTTAACCAAAATACAGAGTGAATGGTTTATCAACCATTTATTTAAACAATGAAATGAACAGGTTATATTTTAGAGGAATTTGT